ATCTTCAAAGTTTGTTCCTTTATTGTGTTTTTGATCCTTAATTCATGTTTTTTCTTTGGCTTCTGCAGTTTGTTTGGATGGTAGTCCACCAGCTTATCATTTAGACAGAGGTTTTGGAACTGGAATCAATAGTTGGATAATACAGCTTGAGGTTTTGTTCTGTTTTTTTTACTCTTGTGCTCTGCTTTTGCTTACTCGAGGATGCTAATATCGATTAGTTTATCGCCTTTATCGGTTACTGGTTTGATCTTTTGGGACTTAGAGTTTTTCTGAATGATAGTGATTTTGGAAAATGATTTGATGATTTAGGGAGGAGGATGGTGTAATAATGTCACAAACTGTGTTAGTCGGATGCATACTCGATTAGGTTCATCGAAGAAAATGGTGGAACAAATCGCTTTCTCAGCTATTCTTGCCAATAAGAAGCAATATAATCCTGGTATGATTACTTTTGACTAACTGTTGATCAAACATAAGTTCGGTGTTTTCGGTTTTTTCTTAAGGTTTTGGTTCGTTCTTTGTCAGATTTTTACAACTGGAATAGAGTGAAAGTTAGATACTGCGACGGGTCATCATTCACAGGAGATGTGCAAGCAGTGAATCCTGTGAGTATCAATAAGAAAAAAAACATTAATTGGTTTTCTCTTCCTTATTCGATAATCGTAATGGTAATTTGATCAGGCTACTAATCTTCACTTCAGAGGTGCTCGAGTTTGGCTAGCTGTTATGCAGGAGCTGCTAGCTAAAGGCATGAGAAACGCCGAAAATGTAAGCTATTTTTTTGTTCCTTTATAAGTCCTCCAATCTTTGTAAAACTCTTGCAAGATTTTGGTCTAAAACATTTGAATGGCAGGCTGTTTTGTCTGGGTGTTCGGCCGGCGGGTTAGCTTCATTGATGCATTGTGACAGTTTTCGCGCTCTGTTACCGATGGGTACCAAAGTAAAATGTCTTTCAGATGCTGGTTTTTTTCTCAATACGTAAGATTTGTAATCTTTTCCTATCTATCATCAACTGAATTTAGAAAAATAACAGAAATTTATACGGTTTTTGCTGTATATACTTAACTTCTTTACAATCTAACAAAAATTTACTTCTGTATATGTTTTCAGAAGAGATGTTGCAGGAGCTCAATACATTAAATCTTACTTCAACGATGTGGTTACTCTACATGTAAGCTTTACATTTACCTTTTCCTCCTTAGTGTCAGTTAGTACAATTGCTCATTCTTGTTTTAAGAACTTTTCAATGAAATGCTTTTGCAGGGATCAGCAAAGAACTTACCGAGGTCATGCACATCAAGATTAACCCCTGCAATGGTAAAAAAAAACTTTCATATCATCTCTTTGAATCCCTCTTTTCTGTTTCTCTTCAGTCTTAATCATATAATTATTACGAAACAATCGCAGTGTTTCTTCCCGCAATACGTGGCTCGGCAGATTCGAACTCCTCTTTTCATTCTTAATGCTGCATACGACTCTTGGCAGGTACATTATCACTATGTAACTACCAAAGTTCTCTAACAGACAATCTTTCAGCTTGAAAGAAGTATTTTGTATAATCTAACTTCGAAAAACTCATCTTTGAATGTCACATTTCTTTCTCAGATTAAGAACATTTTGGCGCCTCGTGCTGCTGATCCTTACGGAAAATGGCAAAGTTGTCAATTTGACATCAAGAATTGCCAACCAAACCAGCTCAAAGTTATGCAAGGTTAGCCTCAGAACAATAAACTATTCAAGAATCTGATTTCTTTGGATCCTTTCCTTAAACATCAACGCATAAAAAGGTCTTACATTTCCGAGTTTTATGTTCTTCAGATTTCAGGTTAGAGTTCTTGACCGCGGTGATCGGTCTAGGAAGATCATCATCAAGAGGGATGTTCATAGACTCTTGTTACACTCACTGCCAAACCGAGACACAAACTTCATGGTTCTGGCAAGATTCTCCAATTCTAAACCGAACGGTAAAAATTCGCGAAAAAAATCGGTTTTTTCCTGATTCTTGTTAAACAAGAGATCATATTAAGAATCAATGTACATTGTGTTCTTCTCTGATCATTTTGCTTTTAAATTTTTGCAGACAATAGCAAAAGCTGTTGGAGATTGGGTTTATGATAGAACATTGTTTCAGAAGATAGATTGTCCTTACCCTTGTAACCCTACTTGCCACCACAGGGTTTTCACTCCTCAAGATGCTCCTCCAATTTAAAGAGATTCTACTAATATATATATATAGATTTATTATTTTTTAACAAGAAAATTTGCTTATACAAATGATTCATTTGTTACATATTGTGAGAGATTCTTAGGGTTTAGTTATAGAAGAAGAAAAAGAAAAAGTGTGATTAATTCTTAAGTTTTGAGAATAAGCAAAAATGAGTAATTTTCTTCAGCACTTGTCTTGTGTGCTAGTGAAGTTGCCCTGTTTCTCTTCCATTTTTTAATGTAAAATACGAAAATTGTTACTTTATATATTCTAATAAATGAAAGTATAATTCTTTTCTCAGCTCTAAGTTTGACGATATATATATATTTTTTTTATGTGTATCATTTTATTTAGTTGTGAATTAATAACATAACATAGTACAAAAGTGTTCTGAAACTATGTACATCTCCAAATTTCACAGAAACATTCTCATCTTCATTAAATGGTTTCAAAATTCCTAAAAATTTCAGGGAGAGTTTGCTTTAAGGTTATCTAGATACAAAATATAAAATTTTCGCTCAAATTAGGAATATATTAGAATTTTATTATATCCCTAAAAACAGTTTAATTTTTTTATAAATATATTATGCTAAAATTTACACAAAATCTAAAATAACATTTAATTTAGAACAGAGAATATATCTAAAAAGAAAAGAGTACGAATTTTACATTTTTGGTGTTGTTTATGCCTTTATTCGAAACCCATATGCCATTATGCTGTCTGTATTATTGCACGCGGTTTCGGATCTATAAGTTTCCCGAGAAAAGAAAAGAAAAATCTAATGAAGATTGAGATCACCAGGTACCTTCCTAAATTAACAAATATTCCTTTTAGTTTCCAAAAAGCAAAAGAATTAATCCATGAAATTAACATCAACTTACTGTCTTCGTTTACAAATTATTCACAGTAAATAATACACTCGTGTTATAAACACTGAGTTATTATATAAAAGATCTCTCACCTAAAATAAAATAA